ATTATAGTTGGTTTTTTTTTTCAAATTATTTTTATAGAAAAAATAATAACACAATATTTACAATGAATTCACTATAATAATATGGTAAAATTGTTTTATACAATTTACAAACAAATATTCGTCTGTTTCCAAACGAATATTTATAATAGCAATATATAATATATAACAACAATAATAAAAAACAATTTGTGACTTTTATATTTGTTTTGTAAATTGTTTATGGATATTTATCATCTTGCTGTATTATAATACACCATACACGTATGAGTGTATGACGTATATTGTATGAGTACGACTTTTCGACAATATTGCGACTATCTGACGACGATGGCGGACCGGAAATGGAAAATATTATTTTCATTTTCACGCGGAAGTTAAACGCTGCAACCCACACTGGACAGGACCGCATTTTACTCGTACGGACGATAAGACTCAACGTTGTCCCGGAAGGAAAAAAATCACAATAAGGGTCTGTCGTAGGCAGACCGCTTCTGTAGTTAAAGGTTAGGTTTTCCGGACGGCGGCACGGAAGTTCCGCCTTCTTCGGGTTATTTATCTTATGGGCGTACGTTTTAATATACATATATAATATTATATCATATTTTATTTATACCTACATATTCCCATCGCATCGTGTCTGCATCTACCCCGCCTGCCTACTTACCGATATCATATATAATAGGTACGTGTGTCGACAACGTAACACTATATGGTCACTATAGTTTCAATGCGATTTTACATGAAAGAGATCATAAGTAATATTATTATAGTGTCGTGGAAAGTTTTATGTTGTCGCGTTTTCATACGACTTTGGTTATATTATTTAATTGTACAATCGTTCACGAGGTCTACTTAATCGGACAAAAAGTCGTCCATATTTTTACAAAAAATAATATTCGTGTAATACCGCCGATTTTAAAGTTAATATTTTTTAAATGGGGACTTTGCAAACTTGTAAAAGTAATAACACACACTCTCTCTCTCTCTCTCTCTCTCTCTCTCTCTCTCTCTCTCTCTCTCACACACACACACACACACACACGACACACACATACACAGGCTCGTTGTATATTATTATAGGTATGTTATAATTTTAGAAGAAACTGAGAAGTTAGAAACAGAGGAACGAAATTATAGGTATAGTTAAAATAATTATAGTGAAATTTAATTACGTTCCAAACGTAACATTTATAATGATAATTAATTAATTGTTTTGTCTGTGCCCTATTCTTATAATCTTATTCAAAAACTCTTGTGTATATAACTGCATATTGTTCAATAGCTTGCATAAAAGTTGTTGTTTTATTTAATATTTTATCCCGAGCAATAGATTTAGTTTCCACATTTATTACTATTTTAGTTTTTGTGTTGTTCTAATATTGTTTATGCTCATCTCACAGGTGACGCGACTAATGAGTTGTTAAATCGAATGGTTATTATTTTTGTTATGTACGATATGTGCCAAATTTACAATTAAAACTGTTCTTGGATAGGAAATTTATAAGTTCTTATTATGACCGTTTATTAAGAATGAGTACACAACTGAAAGGTGTATTAGATTTGTGGTATAAGGGAATAGTAAGCTATATTGCACTGGTAAACATTCAAACTTTTTTTTTATAAATAGATAATATTTATTCGATTAGTTGAGATGTCGGCATATAATAACCCCGAGTCAAACGTGGTTACTATATCAATTTTAAAAGTGTGAGTATTTTGGTAAAGTAAATGTATTGTTGACGACGGTTGGAGGCTTTAAAACGTATAGACGTATAGTTTAATCTGCGATCAGATCACACAAAAATTCTGTTTGAAATATACTGATATTCCATTCATGACTAATAACTATAACCCAGTCGTAGTACCTAGTTAAGAATTTGAGATGTTGAATATTTCCCATTTCAGTTGTTAAGCACTGTGCTGCATGAAATATTTTATTAAATAATGTATTATAACAATGATGGGACCTAACGGTGCATGAAACCATACATGGTCCACACGATTGGACTAATAACACCGGCGCGGCGTCATCGAAAAGTGCATTAGCATGCATAATGCATGACGTACAGATAAACAGACGGCTGGTGTGACAACGGCCATGGCGCAATTACAGCGGTGTCGTCAAAATGGTACTGGTGAGGGTTGAGGGAAAATAATAAAAATCCACAGGTAATACGACAGTAATATTATTATTATTAAATCCGTACCGAACGATCACCGCGTTATTGCATCGCGGTGTCTGAAGGATACTGCAGCGCCCGTCATAATAACATTATTATCGGTCTGCGCTCTCGTCTCGAATTAATTTTCTTTTTAAATCCACTCTCTCGCAGGTGTCGGATAAACATTTTCTCGGCAATAAATCATTTCAAACGCGATTAATTACTGTACACGCGCGAGGACTGCAATATATTACGGAACGGAATGTTTTTTTTTGTGTTTTTTTATTTTTTACACGGACTACATTATTATTACTCCGCCAAAAGAATACCCGAATATTCTAAAACGGTTTACTCACTGAAAACAAACATCGGCCTGCTGTATTGTGGAAAAGAGATTGATATGTTTTATCGTTCGTCTCGAGTACCCTCGTCACGCCCGCCCATGAACCTTTGCAAAGCCGGTCAGTATTTCGAAACGAACAACAGCAAAAAAACAACGACAACAACAACAACAGCAATAACAATAACACTATACTCTAAAGCGATAACGGTTGCTGCAGCAATAAATAGGAATTAAAAATTAAAATCGTTTGTATATTAAAAATACTGATCTGTTTGAAAGGGACATCGAACATATATTTGCTCGTACAGCGATCAATATAATATTTCATATTATTATATTGAAGACAGGAGTAGGATGCAATAGAATCGATAGATGGTGTGAAAATTAATTTAACTATAGACAACCACGTGTATCAATGAGTTTAATATAGCCAAAGTTGGGTGAGCTAATTAAAATAATTAACCTGAGTTAAGTTAACATCAGTGACATAGAGACAGTTGGAATGATTAACTAATAATGAAATTAACTTGCTAAGTTCAAAGTTAATAAGGGAAAAAAATAAATCTACTTTTTATTTAGTACACTATGATCACACAAATAGTATTTTCTCCCTATCTATATATTATAAGCCTAATGTTATTTTACAAGAAACATAACAGAAAGATTTATAATTATTACTAACAATACTAAATAGTAGGTATAAGATTATTTTTTTTTATTTTAAACCTAGTATACAGACAAGCACTATTTTTTTTTTTTTTTTTTAAAGCCCCGCGACTATGGCCATTAGCTTGATTGTAGGGTTTATGATTGTAGGTAGTAGGGTTTGAAATTGTAGGGTTATTACACATGTGTGTTGTGTTTGGCAGAATTTCTATTGGGGCACCCGTAGGTTTCTGCCATGCCCCGGAGTGGGGGATGGCGGCACTTGTTCTCCGGACACCGTGACTTGCCCGGAGAAAAATGCCGTCCAGTGGTCGAGAGAATCGAACCCGCGACCGCCAGCGCCGCAGACGACGTGTTCGACCGCTCGGCCACCTCGTCCCCCAAGCACTATTTTTATTAATGTATAAAACCATACATTTCAAATTTCGTTTAAATTAAATATTGATTTGATGGATTATTTTCAAATCAACTGAAAAACTTAAGTTATTTCAATAGTTTGTTAATCTAGTTAAGTTCCTAGTTAAGTTGTAACTAATTAGTTATGTTAAAATGAAATTTACTGTTTAACTATTTAAACTAGCTCACAGGTGCATAGACATTTTATTCATTTCATTAACATGTAATTAATTTCGGTGACCTTAAATCGCCTTAAAAGGTAAACTCTATTGAAATACTGTGCAACGGTTTTTGACACTTCTCGAATAGTGAAAAATATATTAAATTTATACATTCTGATATTTTAATAGATACAAAAAACACGGATTTCTCTAAATTGTTTACTAGTTTTGGGTATTCATTTGCTAGGAGGAAGTTAAATGTGTCGATTATAATATTATGTCATTATGACGGGAAATTTGACCGCGTATTGTATGAAAGAATGAAGTAATATTGAGAATATGGTTTTTGAGGGTGTTCCTTTACGCGAGTACTTTGTCGTGTTATTGCAAAGAGATTTTTGAAAACACTCGATTTATTATGATCTTAAAAATTATTGATTATTTTCAATGTATGGTTTAAAATATTCGTACTTGATGTTTTTTTTGAAAAATGTTTTAAATTCAACTAATTTGAGGTACATTTTTTATATCAGATATAGTTTGAAACAAATCGAAACAAACATTTGAATTATCCATATTTAAATAATATAGTAATAGGTTAATGGGATGCGCATGGTGATTGAAGAGCAATTCTGATTTTTTTTTTGCACTACTTAACTACTTATGGAAAACTATATTCTGTTCAGAATCGTTCCTCGGCGGCCAACTTGTGCCCATGGGCGTGGCTTGGTCACACGATACAACTCTACGCGCCGCCATTGTGGGGACGGCGTAGGACCGCCGTGGAACGAAAATTTGTCGCCGTCGAGGTATGATTTAATTCTGATCAGAGTATATTATTTTTGATAGCTGTGTACCCCCGCCCTTCGCATGCTTGAATGTTAATTTATTTTCAAGACCTTCCAGTTGAAGTCATAATATTGAACAGTTTAATTATACTTAACAGTATGCCTCTATACTCTATGCATATATTCACGAATAAATGGTTCACAGCACTTAACCTGTCGTTGAGGTCGACCCAACTATTGAAAACTGCTGGTATATAATGGTAGATCAATGATACCGGTATGTCAATATAATATCATGATTAAAACGGCCGATAAAAATACAATAAAAGCAACACTACACTGCAGATGACCCAGCTGTGATCTTGACTTGAGAGATTTCGATGGTACCTCGGGATACCATGACTGTGGTGACCCCCGGTAACTGGGAACAATGCAGATAGCGAGATGTGTGTGTGTGTGCATGGTGAAAATTCAGGACCTAGGTTCAGACCTTCCTGGCTGGTGGTGGAGGTGGCCACGAGTGCCGCTTGCTGCGGCCGCGGTACTTGCACATAAGCACCCGCTTGAACGCCTGCCGGAACACCTTGTTGAATATGGTATAGAACACTGGGTTGACCATAGAACTGGCGTAGCCCAGCCACGTGACCAGGTCGATGAGGCCCTTGCTGATGTCGGCCTCGCAGTTCGGGCACAAGTACGGCAGCATGTTGAGCGCAAAGAACGGTGTCCAGAGAAACACGAACGTGAAGAACACGACGCCCAACACCTTGGTGGCCTTCTGCTCTAGCCGGATGATGCGGCCGTGACGGTACGAGTTGCGGATCATGACGCTTGACCGGCTCGCGTTGTTCGACCGTTGTGGCGACGTTTGCTGCTGCTGTCGCGACGGCAGGCCCAGCGTGGACCCGTATCGGACCAGTGGCGAGTGACGTTTTCCAGTGGCTGACGTCGTGTTCGTGGTCGGCGTCTGCTTTCGTATTGGCTTTTGCGTCATGGCCCGGCGCAACGGTTGGCCACCTACTGCGGCCACCTCTAACGTCGTCGTCTTGGACGCGTTGGACGCAGCCGACCACACGGTCAGTGTGTCGACACGCGTGGCAGTCTTCTGTTGCTGCTGCTGCGGCTGTGGATGCCTTTGAGGCAGCGGCGTCGTCTGTGCTGGTAGTGCCGCCGAAACCGGCGACGGGGACGGTGACGTCACTGATGCCGCTGTCACATTACGTGTGCCAGAACCGCCACTGTTCGCGGACGCAGAACGTCCACGCCGCTGCCGTCGACGAGGCGGCGGTGGCAGCAGACAGATCTCTTCGTCCAGACCTGGTTTCCGTTGGTATTCCTGTTTGAGCAGCGTCCCTACGATTTTTGGCCCACTATCCACAGCTGCCGTCCCGGTGACGTCCGACGAGGTGGGTCCGGTCCGGTTCCTGGTCAGTTCGTCTTCGTGAAAGCTTCGGACTCGCGTGGGTCGCCCCTGGTGGTGGTGCTGCTGCTGCTCGGGGTGCGAATGGTGGTGATATGTGTGTGCGTGGTGGTGATGGTGCAGATGGCGGTGGCGGTTGGGACCGTCGAACCGCCGGCGCATCGACTCGTGCAACGTGCCGGACCGTCGCCGCCGCCGCCGCCGCTGCCGCTTGGCCCGCCTACACCGTGGCGTCCCGGTGCAAGGAGATGCGTTTTCTGAGCACATCGAATCGCAAGCACCTCCACTTTCTACTTCTACTTCTTCTTCTTCATAATATTCTTCTTCGTCGTCCATGTCGTCAACGTTACATAAACCATAGTCGTCGTCATCGTCGTCGTCGTCGTCGTCCAGGCCACCTCCGTTGTCCGACAATCTGTAGATAAAACGAAAAAAAAATCATTAGAAATTTGATAAACGTACTAACCATTTCATCAACATAATATATTTTTATGATTCTAGATCGTTCTTATTTCTACTCATGTTTTATCGAGTCGGTTACAACTTACAATCGTGAACATCGTTTATATCGTCACTATTAATACACCAGACACATTATGGGCTTATGACTATTGGAAGAATAAGCTATCGAGATGGTACAAGTATCGTTACGAGCAAGAGGCCTTGAGCATACCCGAGTGTAGATGTTGATACTATTGTATTAGATAAACTTCATTAGTACGTGCTATCGAATCAAGTGTTTCCCTTTTCATGAGTGAGAATGTTGTTTATCATGGCCGAATGGAACAAATTAAAAATCCTTATCATTTATTAATCAGCCTGTAATGTAGTTTTTATTACTATTCTTGTACTTAATAGAAATGAGTGAATGACTCCACTTCGAAAAATCCAAACTCATAAATTTACAATTTTTTGTATTGATTGGTTTAAGCTATGCTATAATTTTGAAGTGGATAAATCTAGGCCAGTTTTTTTTTTTTAAACCACATGAGAAATTGACAGAATTAGTAAGGGAAAGCATGATGTATATAAATTAATTTATGTGGTTTAGCGACAATTTGTGGTATTCAGGCTAGTTTAGAAAGTGTTTATACCATGCCACGCCTGTTACTGTGAGTATATTGATTTACTGAAAGGATTGAAGGGTGTTAATAAGATTTTAGCAATACCCCAAAATTGTATACCATACTGCAATATCAATTGCTGATAGTATATTTTCTTTATACATTAGATTCTTCGTTTCCATTATTGTCTGCAAATGTTTATCAAGATACCTGGAGGTGTCATTCTGAGTATGAAATGTTGAAGGATAAATGTTGAAGAGAGTAGGGGCTAAGATGCTGATAAATTTTAATTACATTAATAGTGTATATTTTATCAAAATTAACGGTATATACGACCGAATTAAAAATTAACTAAGGCCAAACGTATTATAAATGTTATTTAACTACTGACTTCGGTATTGGGCTATCATCGGGTAAACAAATAAATGCATTACAAAAAAATAAATATATAACAATGAATAATAATAATTAAATAAGCGCCTACAAAATAAACGTTTATTAAATAGGTATATAAATAAGTCAATATTATTTCTTGACATATGTTATATTATAACAAGTAGGTATTAATTAATGTATAGATTGATTATTTTGATACTGGTTATATTAAGAGTATCGTTAAGGTTGCATATAAGGCATGAGGGTAGTTTTGTTTTTTAAATAGAATTTTGTTTGAATATCATAAACTTATGTCGGTTATTGTAAACGACTCATATACTTTAAGTTGATAAGAGTTTGTGTTGTGTTCACCTAAGAGAACATTAATATAATATAGTTAGCATCAGTTTTAAAAAGTAGTTTAATGATGACAGAGATGAAGATTATAGGGTTTATTCAGATTTAGCAAATAATTGGACCAATTTAATGTTTACGGTTTATCGGTATTATTATTGAAATATGGATTGAGATTGTTTAGTACATATCTTTAGATGTTTAGTCATATAATTTAAAATTGAAGTAATGTATTTTTAGTAAATTTTCCTTCTCTAATACTAGAAGAGATATTTTTCAAATACTATCAATGCTATTACATGTACCATCTATTGTGGTGACACATACAAATGTCATACTCTCGTACCTAATATTTCTACTACAAACTATAATGTACAGCTAAAAAAAACACGAAAATAATTATTGTAAAACCATTAGATACATTTTTTTCCCACACCTTCTGTAAATAAAAAAAAAAATTCTTTATTATCTATCTTTCATGCTACATTTAGTACAATAACTATATCAGTTAAGCCAAGATAAGTGGCCAAATATTTATGTTCTTATTCTTGTCGTTCACCTTCTTCTTTCCCAGTATGGAAACATCACCATATTTGTAACAATGCCAATTTGATCTTTATATTTTACTTTCAACACTATCAAATCATGTAACTATAGTTTTCGGATGACATATTATTAGGTCATCTTAGCATCACAGTATAAGTATCTATAAATTACGTTATTAGTTATAGTAGTTTTTTTTTTTATTTTTTTTTTAAACAATGGTTTAATTGAGTATTAAACAGGCTCCAACAAATTTATACTTTTGCATTTTCTGAAATAATATTGATTATCGGAACATAAAGTTTTACTAATAGTATTCATTTTTATACAGCAGCGTATATAATATTATAGGTTGTCAATTAGATACAATTTATATTATTTTATAGTAAACGTTGGAGTTCAAAGAACAACAATTAGATATATTTTTCTGAACCCTAACACATAATGCGTTCCGATGATTAGATTCGTTGTGTATCATGATGCATTTGCTTGGGTTTATTGTCGATGATTCACTTTATCGTTCCTACTTAATGTATCCGTCCAATTTCCAACCAGACAAACCATAGAAATACGTTTTGCAAGTCCTTACATGCTATAAAGTCGATATCCAAACTGTATAATATAGGATACGTGTAAAATGTCTACTATCACTCGATATCAAGCTTATGAAAAATACTGCATATTTGTTCGCAAGTCTTCTTTACAGCTCACCGACCTCACCGACGGTTCATAGATAAAAAAAAAACTCACACATTTTTTTTACACTGTCCTCCGGGAACGCTCTTGAACCGAAAAAATCATACACCACAAGCGATTGAATTGAATGTAATAAATAAGTTTATATATACCAATATGGGTTTACGGTCGTCTAATCGTCCGGAGAGTACATTTAATATATAAGCGCACCTAGCCTGTATGGTGGTACACACACGTGGGCTAAAACAATTGAAATCCGATCAGTTTGTATTTTTTATGGCGAGTATACGAAAACAATAAGTCGAAATTCCTCGTGTTGAAATTGTATACCGTCCAAATTCTATATAGTGTGGTGGGCGATGGCAATAAAACAGGTGGATGCATTTATTTTACGGGTGTTTTTTTATTTCATATCTCAAAGCATATTTTCATGTGGATAACAAAAACAACTATCAAATTTTGTGCATTGGAATTTTCAAGTAGGATACCAATAATTATATCATGTAGTCGATTATTAGAATATTAACGAATTATAAATAGATATTAATATTCCTATAGTATTAAATAATATTTATATATTAGTAAAAAGAAGATGGGAATTTTTAGACATAATGCTCGTCGGTCCATTAATATTTAATACAGGTACTTACTACTTATATTAAAGTTTGCATATAATACGTTTTTATATGCAGATTTTTAAACCATTAAGCAACTTTCAAACTCGAAGTAGGCACAATGATTTGAAAAAACAACTACAAAAACATATAAAAGAAATCTGTTAAAAAAACTTCAATTTGGTGATTAAGTCACTGTCCCTCCCCCCTCCTTCCACACATACACACACTATTGTTTCTATAATAAACAATGCCTCTGATGTCATATTGAATATGTTTCATAAACATGGACGAAATTGAAATGAGTGGTATCTTTTTCTGGTTTCATGGCAGCACTAATTTTACTTTTTTGCTGTCCATTATCCTTTTGATTTGAGATATTTAATGGCTTACCAGATTTGGTGTATTGTGATAATCATAGTGAGTCTTAATGTCGAACTACACATTTTAGTATTCAAAACGCATTACGAACACAGGGAAAGTGCAGCAGTAACCGTGCGCAGATTTCGATCGATTATGGACCATGATGGAGGGTTTCCCATTTAAATCGGAGTATATAGGTACAAGACATTAATATAAATATTTTTGTAAAAGAAAACTTCTTTAATAAAGTTATTTGTAAATAATTTCGGCCCGTGTTTACGAAACACCCTGTATTTTATTACCTTTTTACATATTTCTGAACTTCAAATCCACTATAGCTCTATTTTATGTTTTTGACATCATTATTAAAATATGATTACATTTTTACAGGGCTTGAAACCGGTAACCGATTTTTCCCGGTAACCGGTTACCATGAGTACTTTTTGGACTGGTATCCGCTTCCCGGTTCTCGAGTTTCAATTTTGAGAAGCGGTTATCAATTACCGGTAATCACGGAATTTGATAAAGGGGGAAATCTATAACGGTAACCGTTTATTTTTAGAACCGGTTAATTAATCGGAAGTATACAAAACCGTAAATCTCAAACCAATTAACTTAAAAATAATTTTTTTTTTATTATATTGAATATTCTAAATAGAAGAAAATAATATTTATAAAATACTAAAATTATTTTAGAACTACTAAGGGCCGATTTCACCAACACAGTTAATTACGGTTAACGCTTAATCGGCTGATAACAGATATTTAACCGGCCAAATTCGGCCGATTAAAACTCCGGTTAACGTTAATCGTGATTAACTGTGTTGGTGAAATCGGCCCTAAGTATTAAAATTTAAAAATACCAAAACAAGCGTGTTTGATTGCGGAATCGTATAACAAAAGATTCTCAGTAGTCAGTACCTATGATATAGGTACTGAATACTGATACGAATGGTAGAAACATCGACGAATGCGGGCTGATACATATATATAATATTATATAACTCTTGCATGTACGATATTGTACCAAGTACTAGGTAATAGGTAGGTTATATAACTTATAATCAGGGACTGTTTTGATATTCATTATTTAATAATAAGTTCGTTACATTAGTTCGTAATAATAGTAATACTGAACAAAACTGTGTAGTACTATACTAAACATGTTAAGTTTGATGAAAAAAAAATAGGGTAGGTATTAAAAAAAAAAAAAAAAACGGTTTTGTGAGGTAACCGGTAATTTTGAAGATTTAAAACCGCTTCCAAATAGATAACCGGTAATCCCATTTATAAAATTTATTTCGGTAAGCGGGAAATGATTATCATTATTTCTAAAAACCTCGATAACCGGTAACCGGTTCCAAAAAATTTGCCGGGTCCTATCGGACCCGGTAACCTATTTCTTC